CCTCCCTCCCCCCCAAGGGAAAAAAAAACCACTTTGGTCTAGTGTGCTGTTTCTGGAACATTTATGTTATAGTAAAACTCAATATCCCTCCCCCCCACAAACACACACCTTGCTTTGGTTGCCGGCAGGGCGAGGGACGGAGAGCGAATAGTGCAGCCCCCAGTGAATTCAGGATTTCTTAGAAACTTCAGAGAAGGGCTATAAGGAACTGACGCTGGACTCTTTGGGTGGTGGGAAGGGCAGAAAATTCAGGCTGAGCCCTGAGGCCGGCAAACTTGGCTTCTCCAGTCCCATGGGCAGTGCGGGCCTTGACTGGAGATCTCCTGCGGGGAAGGGGGGTGGGGGTGGAAATCTACATTTCTTCTGGAGATGAAACACTTGCGGCCGAAAAATTTCAGTTTCTTAAACACATTTCTCCCCAAAAGGCAATGAAGGCGAAGAAATGGTTTAGAAGGAAGGGGAAGGCAGCTTTGCAAATTTCCCGGGAGGGATCGGGGAGGTGTTTCCCATCCCGGCACGCAGGGGCTCCAACCTGGAGATCCTGGATCTTGGATCCACTCTGGAAAACCTTGGCGTTTTGTCCCGAAAGCGCCTGCACGCCGTTTCGCGCACGGGGACGACACTCATTCAGCGTCAGGTCAAGGGCAGGTTGTCCCCTGCGACTAGGCAATAGGGGTCAGCAGCCGCAGGAGGCCAGAGCAGGCAAGGGTGCGAGGCATTTAGTCCACTCCCGGATGGTGAGGGCTCGAGACCACCCCGGCTGCAACCCGCCCTCCGGGTGAATGGGGGCGCGCCGGCCCCGTAACGCTGAGCCGGGATAAAATATGCCAGGACTGCGCTTCTCCCGCTCATCAAGGCTGCGGGAGCCTCCCCGAGCCATCAGCCTTGGTAATTGCAAACGTCAATCAACGCTTTAAGACAAAGTCAGAACCAGGAAGGACGAACCCCGGGAGACCTGTCTCTTTAGAAAAATGTGGAGACTTGGAGGGAGAGGGGGGAAAAGGAAAGAAGTTTGCCTGAAGTTGGCAGGAGCACAGGGGAGGACCGGAGAAGGGGCAAGCGCTGAAGCCAGAGGCGATGCCCCAGCTTTGGATGCTGCCCCACAGGTTTCTGCTACCACAGGTGGTGTGGATTACGGGTTGGCAGTGTTTGGCGAAGGCTGAGTGACCGCAGGTGGCGGGGATGATGGGACGCCTGCATGTGTTCAGGTGGCTGAATATACCTGCCTTGGCAAAGACCACACAGGTCCTGATGTTGAGTCACAGCTGCATCCTCTTCCCAAACCCACTGACCTCTCGCCTTCCTCCAGGGCCACTGCATCCAGGATCACCTCAGGTAGCCTAGCCAGGGCACCTCAGGCAGGCTAGTGACCATGCCCAGCTGTTCCCTGGGGAGGGCATTCTGGAAGGCATCGGGAATGGGCCTAGAGAGCCCCCAGGCTTCAGAGGGACCCTGCTACCCCCCGGGGTTGGGGGGGGGGGGAACTGAGGTTCCTGAGAGCTGGATGAGTGCTCAGAGTGAGTATGTGATGGTGCAGAGACCAGAAGCCTGGTATGATGATTCCTGGACCACATATGGGCCAGGCTTGCGGATGACCTTTGGTTCTCTCTATAAACCCCTTGAGGAGAGCAACCAGGGAAAAGGTAAGCGTACCTCTGGTCTCTGACCAGAACCTTTTCCATGCGGAAGGTTCCAGCCTCGTCTGCACAAGAGAGGATTTTGAAGTTCCTGGAAAGGTCGGGATAGCGCTGCTATAGCCAGGAGCTGTCACTTGCTGGAGCCCGAAGCTTGGGATACAAGGGGCTTGAGGTGCCTTTGATTTCTAGGAAAGGAAGTTTCCACCTTCATTTCCACATGCATCGGGTGGCCCCTTTGACTCTTGTCTAGTGATCAACTAGGTCTAGTGCTTCAAAGCCAGTCTAAGTGCCTCAGATCTTTCCTCTGATGCAACTGTGAAGTTTTAAAGGACAGATGGGTGGGGGGATGGGGGGACGGTGTGGGGAGAGGACACCCAGCGATGCTCAGGGCTGATTCCTGCCTCTGCTCAAGGATCACTCATTGGTCTCAGGGGACACTACAGAGTTCTTTGGATTGAACCTGGGTTGGCTGAGTGCAAGGCAAACACCTTAACCCCGGTACTGGCTCTCTGGCCCCAGATTTTAAAAACCTTGCCTTCACCTCACCCCTCTTTTCCTACCCTCACCTCTCTCTTTTGGTGTGACCCAGAAATGCCAACTGGTCCCTTGTCACCAGCAATCCAGGCTTCTTTGAGAACTGCACTGAAGAAAGAGATGCTCTCTTCTGGCCCGCTGGAGCTCACCCTGAATGCGAACCTGTCAGCCTCTGTCTTCCATCACATGATCTTGCAGAATTCTCTTTTGCCTTTGAATTTTCCTACCCCTCCTCCTGTTCTACGAACCAAGGGCCTCCTTCCCACACCAAGGACTGGAAGCCCCCTCTGAGATTGGAAACTGTGGATGGAACCCCATAGCCAGCCTGAAGTTTGGGAAGGTCCCAGAGTAGGTGCCCCAAAAGCATTGGGGCAGCTGCAGAATGGCTCTCAGTTCATTTCAGAGCCACTTTCAATGATCAAATGCCAAAGATTAGGATCACTAAGTAGAGCCTTAAATTCATTTCTATGAGCTCATATTCATATGAATATATTCTTAATTCACGGCGATTTTGAAAACAACTAATAAAGATAAAAAATGAATTGGCAGTCTTACTTGACAATGATGGTGATAATTTGAGCATCCTAAGTAAGGATCACTAACTAGCCCACTCTGCCTTACAATCCAGTGAACTCTGCTTCCCATTTAAAGGTTCTTATGAAGCCTGAAGATAGTGCTAAAAGTTGGGTTTTTCACATAAGGAAGAATGCAAAGATGGAGCTGTTTAAGGTCCCAGGCATGGGGGTGGGGGGAGGAAGAGAAATTTCATAGTATAGTATAGATGTTGCATTCCAGTGAATGGACTACTTATCAATTTGTGAAACTATGTGATCTCTAGTCCCTTCAAATAGAATACATTCAGATCTTTTGAGATTCAAATTCACCCTCTTGCGGGTACACTCTGATAATTACTCTGTGCCCAGTCACACTAGATGTGAGACTTTGAGCATACCTTAAAGGCTTGGGGGAGGGGGGATTCAGAAAGGAATGATTTTCATCTTGCTGGGATGAGATCTGAAAGCCCCCAAGATGTGACTGGGTTGGTGGCCCAAGAGTTTGCCTAACAGATGTTTCTTCAAAACCTGATATTAAAGTGCTGGGCCTCTGGGCCTCTATGTGGATGGAGTGAAGAGACACCAGAATGAAAAGGCACAGACTGAGTTTTGCTTTCTGTGTGGAAATCTTAAATTCACTCAAGTTTAAGAAGGCAACTGTGTAAATGGGTTTGGGCTGGTGGTGGTGGTGGTGGTGGTGGTGGTGTGTGTGTGTGTGTGTGTGTGTGTGTGTGTGTGTTTGCCATAGGTAGACAAGGCGTGTTTATAAGTCAGTGAAAAAGCTGGGCTCCTCAAATTCCCAGCAAGAGAGTGACCTCGGGGACAGAGCTGTCCCTCGGTGAGCCAGGACTGCGGGCCATTGACCCCTCCCAGAACCCAGCGTCTAGAGGGCGTGTACGGGAGAAGAGACCCTGGGATCTAGCCAGCTCTGCTTTGGCGAGGAGCGGTCCACTGATTGCCAGGTCCCCTTTCTCCTTTACGTGGCCTAAGTGGATGGTTAATTCCCCCTCGAGCCTCTCTCTGGACCAATATAGAGGTGAGGGCACCCCGCACCCCCCTTCCCGTGCGCGCGCGCGCGCACACACACACACACACACACACACACACACACACACACACACCGGTGCCTGCTGCTTCCCGGGGCTCCCGCCCCGCGGCTCCAGCGGCGCGTCCATCCCCGCGGCGCTCAGACAGAGGTCGCTTCTCACCCGCTGTAAGACCCGGCGGCGCGCGCCTCCCCCGCCCCGGGCCTGAGGCTGGGGGGGGGGGGTGGGGAGGGGAGGGGGCGAGGCCGGGTGAAGAGGTTGGGGCTGGCGGGGAGCCTGCAGCCTGCGCGTCCTCCTCATTGGCTGGCGGCGGGGGTCCGACTCGAGTCCGAAACCCGCGTCCCCCATCGCTGTCATCGCCCCTCATCCCGGCCGACCCCGGGCCGGACTCTGCTCCCCGCTCCTCCGCGCCGGCCCCCAGTACCTGACCCGCGCCGGCCCCCTCGGGGCTGGAGAGCGCTGCGCTCGGGACGCGGCGGGAGGAAGCGAGGTTTGCAACTTCCCAACTCCGCACTTGTGACAGCCGAGCCGCGCGCGGCGGCGCCGAGGAAGGGGCGGAAAGGCGCGGTGCTGGGAGAAGTGAGAGACAGAGAGAGAGAGAAAGAGAAGAGAGAGAGAAGAGGAGAAGAGGAGAGAGAGGGGAGAGGGGAGAGGGGAGAGAGAGGGAGGGAGGAGAGAGAGAGAGAGAGAGAGAGAGAGAGAGAGAGAGAGAGAGAGAGAGAGAGAGAGAGAGAGAGAGAGAGACCCAGACCCCCGCCGAGTCGGAGCCCGAGCCGGAGGGCGGGGAAGGAGCCCCGTGTGTCGTCCGGGACCAGCGGCTGCGGCATCGCCGGCAGCAGCAGAGGCAGCAGCGGCGGCAGCGGCGGCGGCAGAGCAGCGGCAGCGGCGGCGGCAGCAGCAGCTCCGCAGCCGCCTGCGCTGCCCGCCCGGAGCTCGCCTAGACCCAGCCGCGCGTTCCGGGCAGCTGCACCTTCGCCGCCGCCGCCTTCGCCCAGCCCAGCCCCATCTTCGCCGCTCCTTGCACCCCCAGTCTCTTCCCGGCAGCAGGAGGGACGGGGGGGGGGGGGTTGCGGGCAGGACGACTCGGGAGCTGCGAGACTGGACGGGGTTCAGGGGTCCTGACCCGCAGCCCCGCGGGTGGCTCGCTCCGGCGCGCGGGTGGGTGAGCAGCTCCCCGGCCGCCCCTGGCTTCTCGCGGCCGGAGTTGAATCTGTGCTGCCCGTGTCCAGGTGCTGGGCTTCCGGACGCACGCCGACCCCCCACCCCCGCCCGCGGCCGCCTTGTCATGCTGCCCAAAGTGGAGACGGAAGCCCTGGGACTGGCTCGATCGCATGGGGAACAGGGGCAGATGCCGGAAAACATGCAAGGTAAGAAGACGCCGCGTGGCCAGCCGACCCCGCAGCCCCCGCCCCGAGCTCGCGCCGACGCTTCTGCCCGCCGGGCGCCCGCGCTCTCGGGGTGCTGGGGCAGCGCGCGGGCGTCCGCCCGGGTCCCCCCGGGGCGGGCATAAAAGTTTGTGGCTCTCCATTAATGAGGGGCGGAGGTTTTCCTAGGAATGCCTGATCGGCCACTTCTAATTAAGAAACGAGGAGCTCGGAGCTTTGGGGCAACCCGAGTCGGGCAGCTTCAGGTTAAAGGTGCTTTTCAGAAATCCTACGATCATTCACAGAAATGCAATGGCTCACTGGGCATCCGGGCAAGTTCCCGGCCACCCGAGTCGGTGGGAACTTTAACCACTACCCCTGCGAGAAGGAAGGTCGCTCAGCCTAGGAAAGTCACCGGGCGAAAGCAGAGGTGGTCCGGGAGAGGCTGGTCTTAGGGCGGCGGTATGGATGTGGGCAGCTCCCAAAGCCCAGGCAGACCTGCTCCCCTGCCCCAGGCAGCTCGGACCCGGACCACCGCGGAATGGCAAGCAAAGTTTCTCCAGCCTCGCTCTCTGTGCCGGGACGAGCTAGTGAGTGGAGGGTGAGGGGCAGACTTCTGTGCCTCCGGAATCGCGAGCGCTGAATATGTAAAGGGCCTATATATATGTTTTCTAGACGTTTGACCGCTTAACTGAGGGGGAGAAAAAAAAAAGGCAAAGCAAATTCCGCTGGCTATGTTTTCCGCGTATTCCAAAATAGCGACTCTGGATCTGGCTGTACGCAGCCTTCAGAAGTTTATCGCAGTTGCTCCGCGCCGGGGAGGGAACAATGCTAGGAAAAGTCACCGGCGCTCTTCCATCCTCGCCCCTTCCAGCGCGCAGGATGTGCGGGCTTGGCGGACTTGTGATCCCAGAACGCTTCCTGCCATCCCCTTGAGCGAACTTGAAAGGGCCGGGGAGGTGTTGAGAACAGAGTTCAGGGCTGGTGCACCCGGAGGAGGTGCGGGGCAGGCGGGGCGCCATCGGCGCTCCCGCCCGCTGTGCAAGGGAGAAGGGGGGTGGCTAGAAGGTTTGCGTGGTGTTTGTGCGATCGGTTGCCTTTCGGTTATTCCGGGGTCTCACCAAGCTACTAGGAAGGGCCGTATTAGTTCCCCGGGACCATGGTCTTCGAGGCTAATTGTGGGTTGAGTGCTAAGCTTGGGGCTGGGGTTCCCAATTGACCCCAAGAGATACCGATACAGCGCGCGCCTAGGAGTCCCGCCACTTGGGGACACGGGGGAGAGTGGAGCGGGGATGCGGGATCCTCGGGACCCTCCACCGCCAGCTTCCCAGCCGAATTTTTCTCTGGGCAGTCCGTGGGGCCGGTACGATTCTTAAGACCGCCAAGGAAAGTTTTAGCCCACACCGGCGCGCGCAATTTGGAGGTTCTCGGGGAAAAGAAGCTTGGGGACGCTGAAGAAGAAATCAGGGAGACAAGAATAAGGGAGTTTTGTGGGGTGGGAGCGGAAGGGAAACGCCTTTGTAATAGCTCCTTTGTAAACTTCCAGAGAGGCGGTCTCCATAGGACTCCCCAAGGCTGAAAGTTAACTCTCCGTTCTGCCCGAGGGCTCCAAAGAAGCCTGTGGCTGTTATCAAACAGTTCGGGGTTGGGGGTTCGGGATTCGAGAGCAGCGTGGGAAGCACCAAGCACCTCTTTCTCCACGCGGTTGCTGCCCCAGAGGTGCCCCTGGGGACGAAACCCCCCCACTCTCAAGCTTGCTCGGATTTCAGCCAGAGACGAGCCACATTTCTGCCCGAGGAGCCGCTGCTGGGGCCCCGGAGGACGCAGGGCATCCGACTCCGGGATCCGGTCCCCCTCCGTCCCCTCTGCCTAGTACCATTGGGGACCCCCTCCTTTAGCTAGGCGGACACTTCTCTGTCCCGACCGCTTTGGTTTTGCTTTTTCAATGCCCGTTTGGACCGCGGCGCCCGGCAAACCAACCCACGTCCGCTTGTGTCTGTCTTTGAATTTTCCGCCAGATTGGAACATTCAGCCCCCAGGCGTTTCGGGGTTGGATCCTCGAGGTGAGCACCAACTCTCCCCTTTGCTGTCAACGTTTCCTTTTCTGTGTCCCGAAGTTCGAGTTTTACTTTGTGGAGGGAAACGGGGATAAAAGATACCGGTGGTGGAGCATCATTCCCCCTCCTCAAATCCTTAAGACACGCCTCAAGACCTCGGTGCAGAGTTTTGCAAGCGATGAGGTTACCCCCAACCCGGACGCGTTGTGCTTGGCGCCTGGGTTTGGTCTAGCACCGACGGGTGACTGCACTCCGCATAGGCACTTCCATTTCCTGGAGCTCCGGCGTCTGGGAGGCTTTTTTTTTTCCACCCCTGGGATCTTCCACGCCCACCCCCAGGCCCCAACTGGGGCTGACACCCAGCCCCGCGGCGCTCGGGCTCTGCACCGACGACTCCTTTCAGCTCCCAGCCGCGGAGCGCTACAAGTGCCACTCCTCCCCGCAGAGCTTTTTTCTGGATCAATCCAAGAGCCAAGAACCGCGTCGCAGAAACTCGGGTGGGGATGAGGGTAGGGGAAGGGAGAAGAACTTATTATTATTAATATTTTTTTAAGAACCCAAGTAACTGGACTTGGGTAAGGAGGCCGCGCCGGGGATGGAGCCGCGCGGCCGCGCTGGGGGCTCTCTCCTTTCCGGTAAACAGATCTGGAAAAAAACTTCTGCCCCGCAGCGGGCGCCCCATCCCCCCCCAACACCCCCCTGCCCGCCCGCCCTGCCCCCCGCCAGCGCCACTGATTAACGTAAAACAAACTCCACGCGGTGTTTGCAGGCCGGTGTGTCGCCGAAAGGTGGTTGAGCAAGGGACTTGAGGCCAGTTCGCCCTGGGGTGTCCCGGGGACGCGCCCAGAGGTGCGGGCGGCGGCCGGAGCGCGCGGTGGCTTCGCCAGCGGGTCTTCAAACGCCCGCCAGCCGGGGGTTCGACCCCCCGAGTGCGCGGCCCGGCTCGGGGAGGCCCCGGATCTGGTTTTTTCCCGGAGCTCGCCCCCCCCCCCCCCACCTCCCCGCCCTCCCTGCGCGCCGTCGGGAATCCGCCCTAGCCCGCCGCGGCCTGATTTCTGCGGTGGTGTCCAGGTGTTTACGGTTTGCAGGAATGAGCGGCAACCTGCGAGCCCCATGGGGGGGCTTAAGCCCTTGGCGACCAAACCAAAACCTCGTGTGGATCTTTGCCGTTTCCTCCGCTCCGGGCGTCCTCCCCGTTCCCTTTTCAGTTTTTTTGTAAATTTTTCCATCAGGCGGTGGGGAGGGGCCCCGGGAAGGTCTCCAGAATTGGAGTCTGGTCCATAGGGGACTTGGATGTTGGGGCGCGGAGCGAGCCGCGCGCGGTTGTCCCGGGGCGGCGACTGCCCAGAGGCGGGTTTCTGGGGCTTCGTTTTCTCTCTCAGTCAAGGGTTTGCAACTTGGAGTGGCTGTCCTGGGCAGCTGGGCTGCAGCCCTCTTGATCCGAGAGAGGGAGGAACTATGTGTGCTTGCTCATCCCGTGCCCTAGGCCAAGGGGACAGTGGGACGCAGCTGAGATTTCAAAGAAATTTCAAGTTGCTACAATTGAGTAATTCCTGTTTCTACTCTGAGAGGCACGTTTTCTCCTAACTCAAGTTAGGAAACTTGGGTTCTGCCACTGTCAGTTTGAAAAACAAAACAGGAACAAAAGAAGTTAGAATTGTTTTATAATTAAAAAATAAAAAAACTATGAAGGACATTCTACTGGATACAAAAAGATGTTTTACTTTAAGTGTATTAAAAAATAGTTCTCCTTAGGTACTCCTGGCTAAAAAATTATTTTCATTTTCTATTTTGCCTGGGGGATATTTGTCCACTAATTCCCACCCCCACCCCCATCCCCCAAGGGGGAAAAAAAGACTTATTGCAGGATGGAAACCTACCTGGGTGTGTGTTTCTCTTCTTGTTTCAGTGTCTCAGTTTAAAATGGTGAATTACTCCTATGATGAAGATCTTGAAGAGCTCTGTCCGGTGTGTGGAGATAAAGTATCTGGGTACCATTACGGCCTTCTTACCTGTGAAAGTTGCAAGGTTGGCTTCTATGTTGCTACCTGGGAACATGATGTTCAAACCATTGGATTCCCCTTTTAAACCAAAATAAGCTTTTTTTGTTTGTTTGGTTTTTTTTTTTTTTAGATTCATCTGAAAATGAGAGAAAGTCTTAGGGAGAAGACTCATAGAAATATGTGTCTGATTTAGTTCAAAAGGCAAAGAAATGTCTGCTCTTTAGAAAACTTTGCCACGCTTGTTGCTTTAAAATATTTTACAGTAGTAAAGGGATGTAGCTCTCGAAAGACTTCCATTTCTAACCGTCCTAAATATTGATTTTTGTGTGACTTATATGTATTTAGAGCATCGTTCCTGGGAGTAGGAACAGGACAAAGTATTTCCCAATACATTTTAACTTCAGAATATTCTGTGCTACAAGTCTCAGCATTTTTTACTCACAAATATAAAAGTCTATGCTTTTGACTACATGAGTTCACTCTGATTTATTCCAAACATAATTTTGAAGACTTTTAGCAATTTTTTTAGAAAGAAGAATGAAATCACAATACAGTGATTTTTTATAAATATAAAATCTATTTTAAGACCTATTTAAATGTAGAAAATTATAATGTTTACTGTATACCATATTGTTATCCATAGTATCAATTATAGTTTAAAGATTTATTTCATCTTTTTTATATATTCCCAATAAGCTAGGTTGGTGCACATTGTCAGCGTTTTTTAAAAGTAGAGAACAGTATAATTACTTAAACCACTGCCAGGAAAATCCCTTCATTCTCAAAAATAAAATAAGATTGTTTCATTTTATAGGGAGTAGGATAAACATAACAATATAATCTCCTGGTAAAGTTCTTGTTATATTATGAAACCACAAATTTTCTTTTTAATTCTTTTGATTAAAACATAAGGAAGGACACACCAGCCTGAAATTCAGCTCTGCTATTCATACTTCACTTTTCCATTATTTTAATTTTTTTTAAGTTTCATTTCTTGACTGTATTCCAGTGAAATTATAAGCATTTTTCCATATTGCTCTTTAAATCCTTTTGCTTTCAACTACCATGTATGGACATTTGCAAACGATCTCAGGTGTCTGGCCATTTAACTTTTCCACTGGCATTTGTTGAAATTGTATCAGACGTCTTATACTCCATGAATATCTATATGAACACAAAGGAAACAGCAAGGGCAGAGTTTTTTTTTTTTAAAGTTGCTTGTCAATATTGAAGGTATTTTGTTCTCTGGCTGTTGAGATGAGATGGTATGGAGCCAAATCTGAAGATTTGATGTCATTGTAAATGTAAATCTCTGGAAATCAAAACACTGATGCCAGGAATATCCCCACTATGGTCTGGCCTCTGTTTTGAGGGTGGATCTTGTTAAAATGCAAAACAAACCACAGAGCCACTTAAGGGCACAAGTGGTGCCATAAAAAGATTTACGGGTGCATTCCTTAAAATGAAACAATACAAGAATCGGGTGTTAGCTGTGTAAGATGGCTCACTGTTTCTTCTGTCTTATAGGGGTTCTTTAAGCGAACAGTCCAAAATAATAAAAGGTACACGTGTATAGAAAACCAGAGCTGCCAAATTGACAAAACCCAGAGAAAGCGTTGTCCTTACTGTCGATTTCAAAAATGTCTGAGTGTTGGAATGAAGCTAGAAGGTAAGACTCTTTTAAAGCCTACTACTGCCTGTTCAAACTCTCCAAGGACATAGGATTTAAAATAACATTGTACTTGTAACATGGTAGAATTATTTTCCTGATCTTTTAACATGATCAACAATAGTAAAGTAAAATTTTTGTATAGTTTTCTTGGAGAATAGTCTGGGTCTCATTTAAACACTGGTTGAATCTACTAGGGAAACAGGTTTAATATTAGTATTGTACCTCCCCACCTTTTAGTTTGGGAAGCAGATGCACTAGACACCAAAAAGCTAGATCTGATTAAAACAAACAGTGATAAAAATTAAGAGAAATACCAATAATTTGCAAAAGTTTAACAATGCCTTTAAGTTTTAAACCAGGATGCTCACATAAAAGTTCAAATTTAATGTTTTTAGAAGGTCTGCTGGTCATAATTGTTACTATTAATAATTTCTCAGCAAGTGAAAACCTTTAACTATGGAAAGGAGTTTCTTCTGTACAGTTTCATTTTTGATAGCTTGATAGATAGGAAGGGGTTTTTTTTTTCTTCTCTCCAGTAATGACTTGAGTCTGCAAAATACAAATGTAAAACACAAAAGTTGGGAAGCAGGAAACATGAAAAATAATGAACTGTTAAATCAGTAATAATGGTTTGACAAGAGTAAGAGAATGGGTCCTCAAAAACCACATTAAACTTGAGTAGAGCGTGTACTTACAACATACAGATTGTCAGGTAGTAAAGTTAATATGTGACTGCTGTAAATAATTTGTCATTCATGGACTATTACGGTGTGTCGCTATTTTTCAGCCTCTGACCTACAGAGTTTCCACAGATTAAATATACTGCAAATAAAGTAATAATAAGAGATACATATCACTGAGATGTGCCAGGTCCGAGCGCCTTTCATTTGATCAATGGGGCACAAGCTAGTTTTGTTTCGAACTTTTCTGTTCTATGAAACTTGGGCTTGATAGAAATACTCAAAAGATTTCATATAAATCTGCTGAATTGCTAATAGATTCCTTCCTAGCAGAAGTAACCACTTCAGTTATCTTGAGAGCTGTGAAGTAAGCATTACTTATTAGAAGAGATCAAAAGAATGTAATTGACGCTTATTACTTTCTTTATTATCCACCATTTTATTGTTTTCCAAATAGGAAATATGGGAGTAAATGCTTACTATGAGATGCAGAATCGAACATTGTGATTTCATATGATGTCATTTGATTTGTTTTCTTTTTTCCTTCTTTCCTTGTTTCTTTCCTCCAGTCTATCTTTTTATCTTTCTTTTTAACAAAAGGAAAGGATTTCATTTTATTCTCTTAACAGATATGTTTTGGTGACTAGAGTTCACTTGTGGTGCGTGCACCTCCTCAACTTCAATAAATTATTACCTAGCTGAAAACTCATTATTATCTTTCATAGTAATCCAGATATATAACATTTGCAATAAATTTTTAATGACAAAGATAATCCAAAGATAAAAGCTCAAAAACTTAACCCCCAGCAATTTCAGTGTGACACAAGTTGTCAGAGGTCCCCAGTCTTTAATTGCCGGTGGCCACCAGGAGCTTGGAGAAACCTATGGACTTTTGAGGCCAGCCCCCTCTGCACACGGCACTGTGAGGGTGACAGCTTCTGAAATGAATTGGCTTTAATTATGTCCAGTTCTGCTTGAGTTCAAAACTGATGGCTCTGATGTGTATTCCCCAAGCCCAGGTGAAAGTGATTTGCCAGCAAGGGCCTCTACCCCATTGTTAGAGTAAAATGGCCAAAAATGTCTTTGAGGAAGATGCTGAGAAAATACACAGTTTAATCCAGAAACTGGTTATTTGATCCCCCCATAGTTTGGGTTTCCATAGAGTAAATTGCACCATACAAGTGGAGTAACAGAAATGGGAACTAGGATCTTAGTGGACAAACTGATACTTTTTCTTAACAAGTTGGAATGGTCATAGCAAGAATTACTAAATCTTTCTCAGTCCACTCAAGAGTTAAATATGTCCCTAAGAATTCCCAGGTTTTTTTTTGGTTGGTTTGTGTGTGAGTGTGTGTGTGTGTGTGTGTCTGTAAAAGGGATGGGGGTGGGGGGACTTTGATTTTGGGGTAATAAACTCTTTAAGAAAAAGATAACAGACAAGGTTTTCTTTTCTAGCATTCTTTGTGAGCTATAGTCATGAAAACAACCCCACACATACCATTTCTACTCCATTTTCAGCATTTCTAAATATCTAGAGAGTGGAGGATGCTAATAATTTGCAACTTATTAGGGGGCTGGAGAGATAGTAGAGCAGGTAAGGCACTTGCCTTACATGTGCCCTACCCAGTTCATATCCCAGGTATCCCCTGGAACCAGCTGGAGTAATTCCTGAGTGCAGAGCCAGGAGTAACACTTGAGCATCACTGAGGGTGACACCCCCCTATAAAACAAACAAGCAAACAACAACAACAACAACAAAAAACTAAAAAAATTAATAATTTGCAACCTATTTATACCCCTACTTCCTTTTCTCCACCTCCCACCCCTCCAACAGCGGTGAGAGCTGACCGAATGCGTGGAGGAAGGAATAAGTTCGGGCCAATGTACAAGAGAGACCGGGCCCTGAAGCAACAGAAAAAGGCACTCATCCGAGCCAATGGACTTAAGCTGGAAGCCATGTCTCAGGTGATCCAAGCAATGCCCTCTGAGCTGACCATCTCCTCCGCAATTCAGAACATCCATTCTGCCTCCAAGGGCCTACCTCTCAACCACGCTGCCTTGCCCCCTACAGACTATGACAGAAGTCCCTTTGTGACGTCCCCGATTAGCATGACAATGCCGCCCCATGGCAGTCTGCAAGGTTACCAAACCTATGGTCACTTTCCTAGCCGGGCCATCAAGTCTGAATACCCAGACCCCTACGCCAGCTCTCCGGAGTCCATCATGGGCTACTCCTATATGGATAGTTACCAGACAAACTCCCCGGCCAGCATCCCACATCTGATACTGGAACTTTTGAAGTGTGAGCCAGATGAGCCTCAAGTCCAGGCCAAAATCATGGCTTATCTGCAACAGGAACAAGCGAACCGGGGCAAACACGAAAAGCTGAGCACATTTGGGCTTATGTGCAAAATGGCTGACCAAACCCTCTTCTCCATCGTTGAGTGGGCCAGGAGTAGCATCTTCTTTCGGGAACTTAAGGTATGTCCCCAGGGATTACAGTTTGTTACTTAGCTTTCAAGAGACACTTAACAATGTTCCTAATTAATTTATTCTGGATGCTGGAAGTTTGTTTTCCTTACTTTTCGTCTTTGTAGGATTGAAAGAGTAGGATTTTATGACCTTGGTTTCAGGGCTGTAGCAGTTTAACTTTCTGAAATGTTTCTTCTCTGTAGCTTTTAATATGGGAGGTTGGTATTTAATGTGAAATATAAGAAATTTAATGGGTTGTTACCCCTCCCCAACCCCACCCCCTTGCATTATCGTCTGCCCTTACTTCCTTTAACTGGAATGATTTATGGCTAGAAAATTTAAGTTAATGTGAAATATCACCCGAGTCAACTTATTAAAAATGACTCAATAAATTGCTTGATTATAATGGAGCCATTTCAAAAGAGAAAATACCAGAACATTGTTGTGCTTAGATACTAAAGAATGCCAGTGATCCCACATTTGATGAATATCAGTGGTTATTTACTACCTGTTTGCCTGGACATTAGGTTGGTACAACCTTTGTTTGGGGAGCAGATTCCAAAAGGATGTTCAGTGTCATTGGCTGGGAGATGGGAGAATGGTGAGTGTTAGTTTGCCTGGCCAGGGTTGAGTTCTCATCATCTATGCCTGTGGTTGATTTTAATGGATTGGTACACTGTAAACACAGCGTTTGTTTGTATAAGGATCTCTGTTTAACTACATAATTATTTTATTTCCTGAAACTGAATTAATATGGGAAAGTTACATAGATGTCTAGAATTTAAGGGTGGCTTTATCATTTTGGTCAGTGGTGGTTTGAGTGTCCGTTTCAAAAGCAAAAGTAAATCCTGGACTTGGTCTCTAAGTCTAGCTGTTACTGGATCAGATATTTCTTTTTGCTGTTGGGGGCAGTTTGGCTGCTAAATATTTCTCCCCACCCCTCTCTCCCTTACCTTGGCTTCTAATCACCTGTGACAACTGAGGAAACTTTAAAATCTTCCGGTAAAGGAAAATACCAAGCAGACTTTAAATTTAAAGAGATCTGCTGAAAAAAAAAAACTGTGCATGTGGAAGGACATGGGAGTATGGAAACCATTTGCATGTGGGAGCTGGAGTTCTTTAATAGCAGTTTCCATTAGGGACTATGATTTATACATGGAAACAAAAAGTTATCTTACGGGATTCAAAGAAGTGGATAGAATACCACGGGCAACTGAAAAGGCTATGGACAGCTCTTTACTCTGTGGGTTCCTTTGTCTGCTACCTTGGAAGAGGGATGCGGAGGAAACGAGGTTGTGGAGGGCAAACAGATTGCATTGAGTCATCACTATCGGGCTAGATAAAGTCTGACGATATAACCACTTTGTGATAATCAGAGCATTTATATTTTATTAAAAAATAATGTTCTTACAGTCACAACTTTATCCTTAAAAGCATTTGAAAAGGAAAATGATCATTCTTAGTTCAGACATAACTGAACGGGCTTGGAAATGTAAAAATGAAAAAAGATCAGCCTTTGGATTTTCTGGGGATGGAATTATATTCTTATCACATTATGTTGCATCTTTCTGGACAAGTAGTCAGTCTCTTAGTCTCTCTGGGGTAGGGTAGTCTGTTGTTTTTGTTTTTGTTTCTGGGTTACATCCAATAATGCTCAGGGGTTACTCCTGGTTCTGCACTCAAGACTTACTCCTGGCAGTGCTTGGGAAACCATATGGGATATTGGGGATTGAACCTGGATCGATGGTATACAAGGCAAACGCCCCACCCACTGTACCATCGGCCCCTGGGGTGGGGTAGTCAAGAAGGAATAGGCCTCCTTGTATGGAGAAGTTTCTGCAAGGAACAATGAATCCTAGACTAAAAGCCTGACATATATTTAATATAGTGATGATGTTTAAGAGGCATTATTTTATTTAAAAAATGGAGATTTTCCATGACATCTTCAGGAGAAAATAAATGGAATACTTGTAACTTGATGTAATCTCTTATTTATCCCTCTCACTAGTTTGACAATATTACATATATGTGTATATATATATATATATATATATATATATATATACTGGCGCCGTGTAATCCCATCAACGGCCAAGACTCAGAGACTATAATATCCAGCTCCCGGAACCACGCGGCTTCATTTGCGGCCGCGCGACATCTTATCAGGACATCTTTTATGACATCTTATTATCTCATTCCTACTTTGGACAAACTTGCAGGCTATCGAATGTAGCCTGCCCACAGGGCAGAGTCTGGCAAATTCCCCATGGCATACCAAATATGCCAAATACCAGTAACAATGATGGGTCTCATTCTCCTAAAGAGCCTTGAATATAATCTCAGGGTTAGGATGAAAGAGACGTTACTGGGGCCTGCTCGAGGCAATCGACGAATAATAGGATGATGAAATGAAAATGAAATGAAATATATATATATGTAAATAGAGTACCAAATCATGGTTAACTTAACATTCACCAGTAGTAAGTTAGTGTAAGATGAATACAAAGTTGAATGAGACAAAATTCCCTCTTGAAGATTTTTATAAGACACTTTCACAACTATTAAAAGTACATAAAGACTGCTGAAGTTTATTTCACAGGACTAGGAAAAAAAAACCAACAGGAGAAGGAGGCCTGCATATTACATCTTTTTTAAAAAGGATAAGGTTGTGAAGTGAATGTAGATAGCCACAAGGTAGGACAGTTCTCCAAATCTCTCTCCCCCTCATCACCCCATCCCCATCATACCCCACTTTGGCTGAATTCTGAGAGTCTTTTATGGGACGTGAGGTTTAATATTTGGCTAAATACAGCTGCCCGTGGGAAAGGAACATAATTGAGCATTATAAATCATTTCTGCTGTGGCTTAGAGCATTTATCAGTCTTTCATGAGAATATGCTTTGAAAAGGAAAAGGAAGTAAAACCCTAGGGAACCTGTAAGGGTGGGGGGTGGCCCCAGAAAAGAAAGACAAACCTGACTTATTCGATGGTTTGCTTTGGGCTTACGTAGCGTGGGGGTGAATTTAAGAGAAGTGTTTCGGGACTGGAGAGGTAGCACAGCAGGTAGGGCGTTTGCCTTGCATGCGGCCGACCCGGGTTCGATTCCCAGCATCTCATATGGTCCCCAGAGCACCACCAGGAGTAACTCCTGAGTGCAGAGCCAGGAGTAACCCCTGTGCATCGCCAGGTGTGACCCAAAAAGAAAAAAAAAAGAGAAATTTTTCTCAGAGAGTGAAAGACAGGACCTAGGAAGAGTAGTTTTTCAGGAGTATGGGATCACACCCCGCAGTGCTCAGGGATTACTCCTGACTCTGAACTCAGGGATCACTCCTAGTGTGGTGCTCAGGGGACCATATGCAGTGCCAGGCATTGAGCCCATGCAAGGCAAGTGCCCTGCCTGCTGTTTCTCTCGGGCCCTAGGAATATAAATAGTTTAATATATGTTTGGGAGGTGAAAATTCACCTGGGGAAGAGCTTTTTTCCTTTTTGTTTCTAAGTTGACTTTGTCAAAAGCCAACTAGCCCTTTAAAGCCAGGGTTGAGACATTTCCATTGCCGAAATAATTTATTATTTATTTTTGTGTGTGTGCGTTGGGTCAGGAATTGAACCCAGGACACCACACAGTCAACGGTTATACTCTGCTCTGAGTCACAGCCTTGCCCCACGACAGTATCTTTGAAATGTTGTGACTATGATCTATGGTGTTCCTTGGTGTATCAAACACCTCTCACTCGCTCGCTATCTTTCTCTGAATCAAGATTTCACTATAGAGGCCAGAGCGATAGTATAATGGGTACGGTGCTTGCCTTACACATGGCCAACCTGGGTTCAATCCCCAGCATCCCATGACTACTCCTACTAGCACTGCCAGGAATAATTTCTGAGTCCTGTATCAGAAGTAACCCCTAAACAAAACAAACAACCCCACCCCAGTTTTATTATAAAGAATAAGACCTTCCCCACATCATGCATTGATACTTTTTTGGGTTCTATTCTGCATCTAATTTAGTTCACGTTTATTTATTTTTTTTAAGCAATTGTAGCCATGATTCACTCTGTTGATTTCATGAGCTATTAATAAGGCATGACCCACAACTCAAGAAACATGCCTATGTAAGAGGTTTCATATGCCATCGACTGGAGGTAGTCTATCTGCCACCAAAATTCTCGCCCAAAGTTTTCTTCATCCCAGCTGGATCTCCAAGCCATCCCCAAAACCCAGAGTTCAGAAAGCCCAGGCCTTGCCCTGTCTTCCTGCCAGCATTACAACTTTTAAATTTCATTTGAGAAGATGAATGTTTTACTGTGAACATGTCTTTTTTCTGGTTAACTCCACAGCAGATTACTCCGCAGGTGATGTATTTAAAGGGAAGAGAGATTTGCCTCTATAACCCTACGGTGAAAAGTCACATTTTGGCTCTCCATAGGATAAGGCAGTTTTTTTTAAAAAATTATTTTAATGTAAGAGTATTGCTATTTATTCAGCCATTGATTGAATTGGGCATGAACACAAGATAAGGCAGTTTTGCAGATTAGGCTTTCTCATGCTCCACAGACAAAAGGGAAGGCACATTTCATTTGTTTACTATTTAAAAGAAAGATCAGCAAATATGACAGGTGCAAGTGGTTCCCACTCAAAATATATGAATAAAAAAGGAAATGATGGGGACAGAGAGATGATAACAAAGCAGGGTGCTGGCATTGCACACGACCCATCGGCGTTCAGTTCTTGTGATTTCCCAAGATTTCCCAAATCCATGTTATTTCCCAAGCACCAGCAGGAGTGATCCCTGAGCATAAAGCCAGGAGGAAGCCCCGAGCAGTACCAGTTGTGGCCCCCCAAATAAGAAAATATTTTAAATGGAAATGACAACCTCCCAACATGTTATTTGTAGAAAAGCACATAAGAAGCAAGTCAGTACTACACATGTAGAAATCTCAAGAATTTAAAGTAATCAGGGAAAAAGGAATAGAAGGCACAGATGTGAGTTATTTGGGTTTTCTATCTG